TTCTCTTCTTGTTACTGAATTTAGTCCTGCACATCATTCTGTTGTCCGTGCATTAGATAAACTAGTGGACGATGAACAGCTGGCTGAACTAGTTGCAGCACATGGTGCAGTCATTCCCCTTGTTGGCCTTCTTTACGGCAGAAACTATTTAATTCATGAGGCTATTTCTAGAGCTCTTGTTAAGTTGGGGAAAGACAGGCCTTCCTGTAAGATGGAAATGGTCAAGGCTGGGGTTATCGAGAGTGTACTTGACATTCTGCATGAAGCACCAGACTTCCTCTGTGCTGCATTTGCTGAATTGCTCAGAATACTGACAAATAATGCTACCATTGCTAAGGGACCATCTGCTGCAAAGGTGGTAGAGCCACTTTTTGTATTGTTGACGAGACCAGAGTTTGGACCTGATGGGCAGCACAGCACGCTGCAGGTCCTTGTGAATATCCTAGAGCATCCGCAGTGCCGCGCTGATTATACCTTGACATCTCACCAAGCTATAGAACCTCTTATTCCCTTACTTGATTCTCTTGCTTCTGCTGTGCAACAACTGGCTGCTGAGCTTCTGTCTCACCTGCTTTTGGAAGAGCACCTGCAGAAGGACCCAGTTATCCATCAAGTGATTGGTCCCTTGGTACGGGTCCTTGGTTCTGGTATACCGATTTTGCAGCAGAGAGCTGTGAAGGCCCTAGTCTGTCTTGCGCTGACTTGGCCAAATGAAATTGCAAAAGAAGGTGGCGTTGGTGAACTGTCTAGAGTGATATTGAATGCTGACCCTTCACTCCCTCATGCCTTGTGGGAGTCAGCTGCTGCAGTATTATCCAGCATTCTGCAATTTAGCTCTGAGTTTTATCTGGAAGTACCTGTTGCAGTGTTGGTAAGATTGCTTCGCTCTGGCTCTGAAGGCACAGTTCTTGGTGCATTGAATGCTCTCCTTGTGTTGGAGACTGATGACTCCACCAGCGCTGGAGCTATGGCTGAAAGTGGGGCGATCGAGGCTCTCTTGGAACTTCTCAGATGCCACCTTTGCGAGGAAACTGCTGCAAGACTCCTTGAGGTTTTGCTGAACAACGTGAAGATCAGAGAAACAAAAGCCACCAAGTCAGCAATTGTGCCCTTATCGCAGTATCTTTTGGATCCCCAGACTCAAGGTCAACAAGCAAGGTTACTGGCAACTCTTGCTCTTGGTGACCTATTCCAGAATGAGGCTCTTGCTCGAAGCAGTGATGCTGTTTCCGCTTGCCGGGCATTGGTGAATCTGCTTGAAGATCAGCCTACTGAAGAAATGAAAGTCGTCGCCATTTGTGCCTTACAGAACCTTGTCATGTATAGCAGATCAAATAAGAGAGCAGTGGCAGAAGCTGGTGGTGTCCAGGTTGTGTTGGATCTGATTAGTTCAAGTGATCCAGAGACATCAGTACAGGCGTCAATGTTCATTAAACTTCTCTTTTCCAATAATACCATTCAAGAGTATGCTTCAAGTGAAACTGTCAGGGCTATCACTGGTAAATTTCTTTTCCCTATACTCCAACAACAACAACAACAACCCAGTATAATCCCACTAATGGGGTCTGGGGAGGGTAGTGTATACGCAGACCTTACCCCTACCCTGGGGTAGAGAGTCTATTTCCGATAGACCCTCGGCTCCCTCCCTCCAAGAACTCCCCACCTTGCTCTTGGGGTGACTCGAACTCACAACCTCTTGGTTGGAAGTGGAGGGTGCTCACCACTAGAGCAACCCACTCTTGTCCTTTTCCCTATACTCCATGGTCACAAATTATCTGCATTACGCTGCAGAAGAAAAATGATATTTTTGGTTTTCTACACATTCTTTTTCATTTCATTTATTGAGAATTAGTATGGTTTTCTACACTTTCTTTTTCATTTCATTTATTGAGAATTAGTATCTCAAATAGAAATTTTCCTAATATGATGGTGGATTCTCCTTAGTGTTCTTGATCCTGGTTGGTTAATAAAATGGTTTACTATTTGGATCCTGCTAGCTTGAAGAAATGAAGGGATGACGTGTTATTGCGTCCAAAAAGTTTATAAACTTCAGTATTTTGTGCAAATTGAGTCATTTCTTTTTAGTGTTAATAGCTTATTAATCNATAGCTTATAAATCTAATTGATTTCTTGGCTTTGTAGCTGCAATTGAGAAAGATTTATGGGCAACGGGAACTGTAAATGAGGAGTACCTCAAGGCTCTGAATGCACTGTTTGGAAACTTTCCCCGTCTAAGGGCTACTGAACCTGCAACACTGAGTATTCCACATCTAGTGACATCCCTGAAGACTGGTTCAGAGGCAACTCAAGAAGCTGCTTTGGATGCACTGTTCCTTCTCCGACAAGCTTGGTCAGCATGTCCTGCTGAAGTGTCTCGAGCACAATCAATTGCTGCTGCAGATGCCATTCCGTTGTTGCAGTATCTGATACAATCAGGTCCCCCTCGGTTCCAAGAGAAGGCAGAATTTCTATTGCAATGTTTGCCTGGGACTCTAGTGGTAATAATAAAGCGTGGCAACAACATGAGACAATCAGTTGGAAATCCAAGCGTTTTTTGCAAGCTTACCCTTGGAAATACTCCACCTCGCCAAACGAAGGTACAGTCAATTTTCAAATACTTTTTCGTTTCAAGTAGACTTACATTTCTCATTGCTATGTGGGCTTTGAACCCTTTTTTGTGCGCTGTTGGCCAAATTCTAATTTTATAAATAACTTTTACTTTCTTTTTGTTTGGTTTGTTTGGGGGATGTTTGATTCAACTATGACTAGTAACAGGAATTGCACTTCTCCAACAACAAAATAATTAAGTTAACTTATTTCAGAACCCAGCATATGGTTCATAATTCCTTGTTTTTCTCCTCTGTCAGGTTGTTTCAACTGGTCCTAATCCAGAGTTTGATGAGAGCTTTTCATGGTCCTTTGAAAGTCCTCCTAAAGGCCAGAAGCTCCATATTTCATGCAAGAATAAGAGCAAAATGGGAAAGGTAAGTGCATTTTATAATTTTGATAGAGGACAATGGGACACTAACATTTTTGTTATAATATGCTTGTCCATTTCTATCACTTCTCAACTTCTGCTAAACTCGTTCCAATTTATTGACAGAGTTCATTCGGGAAGGTCACAATCCAGATTGACCGTGTAGTTATGCTGGGTGCAGTCGCTGGGGAGTACACTCTGTTGCCCGAGAGCAAAAGCGGACCCTCAAGGAACTTGGAAATAGAATTCCAATGGTCTAATAATCTTACTCAAAATGCAAATTAAGGTAGAGGAACAAATGTTTGGAACTTCTTTCTGTTTTCTGTTTCTTTCTTTCTTCCTGTTTAATTATAAGGTGAATGTATATAGTGTCAAGTATAGGTTTTACAACTCTTGATCATATTTTAGTTTTGGAAAACGGCTATTTGTCAATGTATTCTTTTGTAACTTGAGTCATTTTAGTATCTTTAAGGAGGGGACATGGATTCATGGTTTCCTTCCTTTGTATTTTTTGTAATCATATTTGTTTGATGAAAGAAAACAATGTTTCTGGTTTGGGCTGTCTAGAGAAGTTTATTGTAATTCATAACGTGCATTTTCACTTATTGTGATATGAGAATTCTATCTACTGCTTTCACTTTTCTGAATATCAATCACCCTTTTCTTTCCTTAAAAGATGCTTCCTCTAAATGGCTGTTTACCTTTCCTCATCCGAAGTTTATTTGACCAATATTAACATCTGAACACAGTCCTTTTGACTTCATTTTTCGATTAATGCCAAATTGTCAATACTGCCTTTATCTTTTTTGCTTAAGTTTCATTAACTATGTCAAATTATATGTCAATATTAAAACTCCTAAAACATGAACAAGAAATAATATGAAGTGCTTTATAAACATAAACCATGCCCTTCAAGTTCTCGTGCATTGATATCATTCAAGAAAAGACCCCATTCAAAGATTTTTCACCATAGTCATGTCAAAGCCTCTATTAGAGGAGGCTGTGGCTGTGAAGTCACAAGCTATCAAGAACATGGTGGAACACGACTGTGCTTCTAACACTATTATTCCTCTGCCTGATGTCAGTAGCAAAACAATAGCAAAGTGATTGAATACTAGAAGAAACACTTGGAATTGGAGGAGAACGACTTTTTACAAGAATTTCTTGAAGATGCATCACTCGGAGTTGTGTGATCTTATCATAGCTGCTAATTATCTTTGATGATAAGGAGTTGTTGATAGAATCAAAGGAAAAACGCCAGAAGAAATATGTCAAGAATTCAATATCAAGTATGATTTTACCCCTGAGGAAGAGGAGCAAATCTGTAAAGAGAATGCTTGAGCTTTTGAATGGTTTTTTAACAATGTTCTCCTAGTTTGAAAAACTCGAATTCACACGGGCATGGCCTAGTGAAAAAGGGAAATACCCAAGGCAAACTAGGACAAAATTTAGTTACTCTAACATGGCTTTATTTGTTCCACTGACATCATGATGTACTTTGCTTTCAAACATGATAATGTTAGTATCGATTTCAAAAAATAATTTCTGCAAAAATAAAACAATAACAGAAACATAAATAGAAGAATAAAAAATTCCGAGCCCAACAGAAAACTGTATTTCCTTAAGGGATTTAATCTCCTCACTGTTGCCCAAAGTTATTGGATTAATTCCTCCCAGGATAGAACGGAACAACTATTCTGTAATACCAACAATGGAAATTACAGAACTTCGAAGAACTCAACAAACGGTAGTAAACCATACTTATGCTTTGAAAATAATAATACAGAAATGCAGAAGATGAAGGGAGATTTTTCAGATTTTTGGTGGTGAAAAATGAGGCTACGCCTCTATATTTATAGCCAACGATTTGGGTTTCGACAGGTGCCAAGATACCTGTTCGTTTGAAATGGTGTCTGTTCGCCAGAATTAAAAGACGATGACGGCTCGAGGCATCACTTCTTCTTACCTCTTTAAGAGCTACAAAATGTGCTTCTTTATATAAGCACAAAGATTTTCTTTCTATTTTCCGATGAGGGACAAAGTGCATTAGTAAAGGAAGAAACAACTTCAAACTTTTCGTTTCCCTCCAAATTATTTCCCTCCATTTCCCATTCATACCTCTTATCTAATTAGATAAAATCCCAACAATCCTCCACATGAATGGGGAACGACTATCTGTAAATATGCATGCATAAAAAACTGTGTGATTTACAAGTAATGATTAATCGCATCTGGATAAGTAGGTCCCCCTTTGAACTTTCCATAGTGAACTCATGTCGGATATAGTCGGTCAATCGATAGATTTGATATCTTTGAACCGTCGAACTTTGGTGTATACCTAGACAAGCATAAGTCACACAATCAACCCTTTAACCGCCTTTGGTTCTCACTGTTGTGTTAGTTTCAGCCATGAACACCGCATGGTTCATAAGTACGTAGAGAACTGGCCTTACAGAATTCTCCTTAAAGCAGCTTACTCTTCACACTTATATAAGTGATTCCTAAACGTGTTATCCCATAGATACACTATTTGATATACTCCGTATCAAACTTAAAAACCATTAAAAATCCTTAACGCTTTATCCTTGGTACTGAACATTGTCTCATCACGAGAATAGACTAAAATTTTATTTGACAGCGTTGAACCGTCACTAATGACTTTGTTTGATCTCCTTGAACCTAGATCTTGGGATCCAGTCTTCTAGGTAGAGTTACTGCCACAGTGACTTGTCCTTATCCATAGTCCCGTTGCCTTTGATGATTTATCAACCACCTCTCTATTTAGGCCTTTTGTAAGCGGATCCGGCACACTATCTTTTGACTTTACGTAGTCAATTGTTATAATTCCACTAGAGAGAAGTTGTCAACGGTATTATGTCTTCGTCGTATGTGACTAGATTTTCCGTTATACATAACGCTTCTAGACCTTCCTATTGACGCTTGACTATCGCAATGTATGCATATAGGATCGCAATGTATGCATATAGGAGCCACTGGTTTGGGCCAAAATGGAATATCTTCCAAGAAATTTCAGAGCCATTCAGCTTCTTCTCTAGCCTTATCTAAAGCTATAAACTCAGACTCCATTGTAGAGCGAACAATGCATGTCTTTTTTGATTGATTTCCAAGACACTGCTCCTACCAATAGTAAACATGTATCCAATTGTGAACTTTGTTTCTGATGGCCCTGTGGTCCAATTTGCATCACTATATCCTTCAATTACCGCATGATACTTATTGTTTTGAAAAGCATAATCTTGGTATATTTTAGATACCCCAAAACTCGTTTCATTTTCATCCAATGAGTTTGGTCGGGATTACTTGTGTAACGACTCAGTTACTTACTGCACAAGCTATATCAGGTCGTGCACAATTCATGATATACATTAAACTTTTCAACACTCGAGCATAATCCAGTTGAGATTTGCTCTCACCTAGATTCTTTGTAAGAGCAACATTTACATCAATCAGGGTCTTTGCGACTTTGAAATCTAAATACTTGAATTTTTCAAGTACCACAATGAGATTGAGACAATGCGAGTCCTTGAGGAGTCCTATGGATTTTAATTCCTAGAATTAAATCAGCAACTCCTAAGTCTTTTATATCAAACTTACTAGCAAGCATACACTTCGTGGCATTTATATCCGCAATGTCTTTGCTCATTATTAATATATCATCAACATATAAACATACAATGACTATATGATTTGGAGTGTTTTTAATGTAAACACATTTATCACACTCATTAATCTTAAATTCAGTTTCCAACATTGTTTGGTCAAATTTCGCATGCCATTATTTGGGTGCTTGTTTCAATCCGTAAAGTGACTTAACAAGTCGGCACACCTACTTTTCTTTTCCGGGAACCACGAACCCTTCAGGTTGTTCCATATAAATTTCTTCCTCCAAATCTCCATTTAAGAAGGCTGGCTTTACATCCATCTGATGGATTTCAAGACCATACACGGCGGCTAACGTTATTAATACCCGAATAGATGTAATCCTCGTTACCGGCGAGTACGTATCAAAGTAATCAAGACCTTCTTATCGGATTCAATGACCGTATTAATATAAATATCGGAATTTTTTGATTTATGGACCATAAAATAATATGCCTTACTATTTCTTGCATATCCTATGAAAACGCAATCAACATTTTTGGTCCAATCTTCACCCTTTTGGGTTTAGGAATTTGCACTTTAGCCAAACACCCCCACACTTTAAAATATTTTAAGTTGGGTTTCCTACCTTTCCATTTTTTATATGGAATGAATTGTGTTTTGCTATGGGGAACTCGATTGAATATTTGGTTAGCGGTAAGAATAGCTTCCCTCACAAGTTCAGTGGTAAACCCGAACCTATCAACAAGGCATTCATCACTTCCTTTAACGTTCTATTCTTTCTTTCCTCAATTCCATTAGATTGCGGTGAGTAAGGGACAATTGTTTGGTGAATAATGCCAAATTCCAAATATATTTCTTCAAAAGGAGATTCATATTCGCTACCCCTATCACATCTTATCATTTTGATCTTTTTATTTAGTTGCGGTTCAACTACATTTTTGTATTGCTTGAATGCCTCAATTGCTTCATCTTTATTATTAAGTAAGTAAATATAGCAATATCTAGTATCGTCGTCAATAAAAGTTATGAAATATTTTTTCCCACCGCGAGTTGGTATTGACTTCATGTCGCAAATATCTGTGTGAATTAAGTCTAAATGATTTAAATTCCTTTCAACTGACTTATAAGGATGTTTAACATACTTAGATTCCATACATATTTAACATTTCAAATTGTCGCATTCAAATTTAGGCAATACTTCCAAGTTAACTATTTTTCATATAATTTTGAAGTTGACGCGACCTAAACGTGCATGCCATAAATTATTTGACTCAAGTAAGTAAGAAGAAGCTTAAACTTTATTGATGTCAACAATTATTACATTCAACTTGAAAAGGCCCTCAGTTAGGCAATCTTTTTCCTATATACACATCATTCTTACTCATTAAACACACACTTAAAACCATTCTTGATAAGAAGTCTAGCAAACACCAAATTCTTGCGAATTTCAGGAACATGGAGAACATTGTTTAGAGTCACAACTTTGCCCGAAGTCATCTTCTCCACTCCTTCATTTTTTGCTGTTGTGGAGTTTCCCATAAAGATAGTCGCGTCGGGCCCTACGGGAACATAAGAGGCAAATAACTCTTTGTTAGCACAAACATGGCGAGTGGCTCCAGAACCAATCCACCACTCTTTGGGATTTCCTACCAAGCTGCATTCAGATAACATGGCACATAAGTCCTCAATTTCATCATTCTTTTCTACCATGTTTGCTTGACTCTTCTTCTTGTCCTTCTTCGGTGCACGACAGCCCATAACCGTATGTCCAACCTTTCCACGGTTGTGGCAATTACCTTTGAACTTCTTCTTGCTCGAGTAATTCTTTGGTCCATATGGCTTCTTTCTCTTTTTGTTGCTTGTAGACGCTTTCTCAACAACATTTTCCCCCATTATTATTGAGTTACCACGTGGCTTCTTCTCAGCAGCCTTGCTGTCCTCTTTAATCCGTAGACGAA